AAAGTCTGTGACAGGTATATATCTCCCATTAACGAAAATCGATTTCATGAACGAAATATATAGCTACCCGAGCGTGAAATTTTTTCAATATCATCAAAATATCGTTTTATATAACTATCGATTTGCCATCATTATTCTGCGTTTCATTTCCAATGAACCAAATATCAATTGTGTGGACTATATATTTTTCTCTATGTTTGTGAAGACTTGAATTAGAAGGCCGGAAATCATTTCAAAATATTCCCTCTCAATATGGTTAAAAAATACACGGACTTTTTAGACATGAATGACGTGTTGATTGTTATATTCAACACTGTGCAAACTAAACAATTCATTCATTTTTTCTTGAATAATTTCTCAATCATTTTCTGGGATTAGTTAAGCGAGGTTTTACGACCTGTCAAGGGCATTTGATACGATACGACATGATTTCTTGCTATTAAAATTGGAAAGATATGGGGTTAGAGGCGTGACTTTTTTCGTCATATTTGGAGGAACAAAAGTATTTTGTGAGTGTATCCGGTCGGAGATCTGCTGAGTACCCAGTTATGTTTGGTGTCCCACAAGGCTCCGTTTTAGGACCCTTGCTATCTATTATATATTTCAATGATTTATGTATGAGTATTAACTCTGATGTGTCTTTCATTTTTTATGCAGATGACTCCACACTGGTTGTGAAAAATTTAAATAAAAGCAATGCTTTACAAACCCTTAATTGTTCAGAACAGAATGCTAAAGTTTGGTTTCGATGTAATTTCCTTTTCTTAAATGAAAGTAAAACGCAACATCTCAGTACTGCAGGTTTTTCCGGGTTTTCCTGCAGCTAAAAAAGCAAATGCGCCACTGGAATCAATCAAGTCGCCCCGAAGCGACAATTGATTTTTGTCTAAGTTTCCAGTTTTTCCTTTTATTGAAAATGACTTTCATGTAATGTATTCCATCAAGGTTGAGGACTTCTCACAAACTCATTTATCCTTCTTTTGTTCCTCGCACATTAAACTTCGCATTCTTCATATCTCTATCAGTATATGTCCATTAGCCTCTACCATAAATCTGAAACTTTATAACCAGCTTCTGGGCCAGCACAAAGACCTTATCAGTCTGACCTCGTTATTGATTATGCTCGTATCTACTACCTGAATATTATTTTTGACATTTCCGACGACCTCTTTCGAAGAACTGAAACTCGAGTAGCTAATAAAAAATATTAATGCTTTTCTAATCTTTACGTGACTCTTGTAAAAACAACTGCCCACCCACATTAA